TCAGTCTCTACCAATCCTGGCTATACCATGGTTCCTGTTATTGAATTTCCACAAGATTGTGGCTCCTTTTTTAATCCCTTAGGAGTCTCCATTATGTGATGGCACCTGATAGAATATCTTATCCTTTCCCCTAAGAGAGCCGTGACAAAGACCTTTAGATAAGGCAATCAGAGAAGACCCAGACCCCTCCCCAATGTGTTTCCTGATACCTCCACTTGATCTCACACTGATCCAAGACAAAACTTTTGACTATGCATTCTTGCCCCTGTGAGCTCTTCTCAAGATGGTAGCCAGAGTGACCTCTGTAAAATACCAGTTGTCTCACATCATTCTCCCTTCAAGGCAATACCATGCTCTCTAGGCATTGCATACCCTGCCCCTACCTACTTACCCTACTACCTTCTAGCTCCAGCCAAACTGGGCTTCTGATGCTTCTAGAACATTCTATGCCAGGTCCCTCCACCCCCCAGGTCTTCACAGTTACTCTTGACTTCTCTTCCTCTGGCTCCTCTTCTGGCTGTCTCTTCTCTGTCATTAAGATCAATGTCAACTCCTCAAAGAGGCCTCCCCTCAAAGAATACCCCAATAAAAGAATTCCTCGGTCTCCATCATGCAACTCCATTTTATCTCCTTGCTAACACTTATCACTTTTTTTTTTTTTTAATGGAGACAGGATCTTGCTCTGTCACCCAGGCTGGAATTCCTGGGCTCAAGCAATTCTCCTGTTCCAGCCTCCTGTAGCTGCACCTGGGTAATTATTTAAATTTTTTGTGGGGATGAAGTCTCACTATGTTGCCCTGGCTAGTCTTGAACTCCTGTGCTCAAGGGATACTCCTGCTTTGGCCTTCCTAAGTGCTGGGATTACAGGCATGAGCCATCACTTACCACTCTTTGAAACACTGTTTTATAGATGTAAGCTGCACGAGGGCAGGTGCCTGGTCTATTCTGTCCTATGCTGTATCCCCAGTACTAGAGCAGTGCCTGGTACACAGTAGGCATTCAATAATAGTTTAGAGCAAAGGTGTAGATGAATATATAAGGATTCTGCAGAATTCTAGCCATATAACCTTGGGCAAGTTAATCAACCTCTCTGAGGCTCAGTTTACTTAAATGGGGATAACATTATCCCTAAAGCCATCTTCTTCTAAAGATTAAATCAGCTAATGAATGTGCCTACTTTAAATCTTGCACAAGCTATTTAATTTTTCTGTGGCTTGGTTTCCTTTTCTTTAAAGTGGAAATAATAAAGACTTATTGTATAATAACATACTACAAAGTATGTTTGCAATGTGCAAATTAGTTGATAAAACATTTTTTATAGGAAAATAAAAAATATATTTGGTCTTTGTGGGTTCCGGGCACACAGCTCCTAAAACTCTCGGAATTTTCTGAGTGATAAGAGTGTTTTTTGTCACTTATAACAAGGCCCTTTGGATTACACCTGAATTCATGCTAACGAGGTGACTTAGGGTGGACCTCTAGATAGTTTTAGTCAGGGGCTGGTCCCAGATAGGCCAAACATGTGATTGGATGATGGAAAGGTTCAGCCTTACCCCAGGAGAGGAGGGGAGTCGGGGGCTGGAGATTGGATTATAAAAACTCCTTTTTTTGTATATTTATTTTAGCGTATTATGGGGGTACAAGTGTCAAGGTTACATATATTACCTGTGCCCCCCTCCCCCCTATAAAAACTCCTTAAGAATGAGACCTGGAGACTTTCTGGCTTGGTGACCGCATGGAAGTCCTGGGGCACAGTGGGGCACTGGAGAGGACGGGGCAGCTCCACAGCCTCCCTCTTACCTTGCCCTATATGCCTCTCTTCCATTTGACTGTTCCTGACTTGCATCCTTTACAATAAACCAGCAAATGTAAAGAAGTGGCCAGGTGTGGTGGCTCATGCCTGTAATCCTAGCACTTGGGAGGTCAATGAGGGAGGGTTGCTTGAGACCAGGAGTTCAAGACTAGCCTGAGCAAGAGTGAGACCCTACCTCTATATATAAAAAAAAAAAGAAAAATTAGCCAGGGTGTGGTGGTGTGGGCCCATAGTCCTAGCTACTCTGGAGGCTGAGGCAGGAGGATCACTTGAGCCCAGGAGTTTGAGGTCGCTGTGAGCCATGATGATGCCATTGCATTCTACCCAGGTGACAGAGTGAGACTCTGTCTCAAAAAAAAAAAAAAAAAAATGTAAGTGAAGCATTTTCCTGAGTTCTGTGGGTCATTCTAGTGAATTATCAAACCTGACGAGGGTAATGTAGGAACCCCCAAATTTAGGGACACTCATTGAGAAGCACAGTGGCTCCTGGGAATTGCAACTGGCATCTGCCGTGGCACTGTCTTATAGGGCTAAGCCCTTAACTTGTGGAGTCTGTGCTGACTTTGGGAATTAGTGTCAGAATTGAATCGTTGGACACTCAGTTGACATCAGTGACTTGGAGCATTGGCTGCTGGTGGTATTGGAGTAAACACACCATACATTTGGTGTCAGAAAAAAAACCTCACAGGTATCCCGCAAGGCTGTGGCGAGGACTAAACTAGTTAGAATATGTCGAGCCCTTAGAACAGGTCCTGGTGCATAGGAAGCTGTACGTTATGTATGTTGGCTGTGCGTTACTGATGCTATCTGCACACCCCAGGATTGGGGACAGAGAAGGGAGGGTGGGGAGCAATCATGAGTGCCCTAAGGACTTGCTGAGGGCTCTCTGTGTGCCCAGCTCTGTGCTGGGCTCCAGGCAGGCCTGAAGAGGAGGCATGGCCTTCCAACACATTCTTGTCCTTGGAAAGTGCATACTGGTTAGGGCCCACCATGACACACAGATGGGCGTGCACACACACGCACACACACACTCACACACAGAGTTTACAGGGCAAGCCATGTGGAAAAGGTCTCTTGGGAAGAGATCAAGAAGCCTTAGGAAGGCTTCCTGGAGGAGGAGGGGCTTGGGCTTGCCCTCCAGGGGCAGCTAAATGTGGGGCATATGGGCGGGGGTTAGGGGGCTGGGCTTTACTCAGGGCAAGCGAAGGATGGAGAAGGAGCTGCAGGTTGGGGCACCTGGGGTACACAGACAGCATGGTCTCAGGGGAGTTTAGGGCAAAACTAGGTGAGGAGAGTGTGGTTAGGACAAAGAGAAGGGGCGAGCATTGACCCCCTGCCGGCCTGGTCCTAGGGATTGAGGGTGTCTGGCTGACTTCCCCAGGAGCTCTGGCCTGGCCCAGCCACTGCAGCCTCCACTCCAGCACAGGCCTGGCTTCCCAGCCCCCTGTGGAGCCCAGCGGGAGGGAGGGCCGCAGGGTGGTTTGGGAGCTTTCCAGTGGCAGCTGGAGGAAAACAAGTGCAGGTGGAGATGACCAGCCCGGCAGGACAGCTTAGCAGATGCTGGCCAGCAGGCCTCACTCCCTGCCTGCCCCTCCTCCTCCTCTTGCCATTTCTCACCTCTCCTCAGCCCCACTCTTGTCTTCCCCAGGAGGGACCTGCTCAGCCCTCAAGGGGACCAGCACATCAGGCGCATTGGACTGCCCCCTCCCAAGGGTTGGGCTGCACAGCACTCTGCGGTGGGACTTGAGGAGCTGGAGAATTCTGCTGCAGGAAGCAGCAGGGGACAAAGACGCCCAGGGAAGGACAGCAGCAGCAGCAGCAGCAGCACCGCAGGAGGGAAAGCCCTGCCCTAACAGCCTGCCTGCTGGCTCTGCAGAAGGAGCCCAGCACATTGCTGCAGACTGGTGCTCCCTCATTCCCCTCTCTCCTCTTCACTCATGAACCCTGTTTAGGCAGTTGTGTGCAGTACATCTGTGGATTGACCACCCTCATATGTGAGATTAAACTACTAGAGCTGCAGCTAAACCGAGGGTCTCTCAGTTATTCTTTGACAAGCCCAAGGAAAGTCACCCGGTTTATAGGCAGCGTAAAGATTCGAGACTGCTTGTCCAAAGCCCAGCTCTGGGACTTACTAGTAGTATGAGTTTGGGCATAACCTCTTCTCTTTCGTAATATGGGACGATACAGGTAGCTACATCATATATGGTTGTTGGGAGGAATGAGTTAATTAACATATGTAAAGCACTTAGTGTCTGGCATATGTAAGTAGTAAGTATTGTTATTATTCTTATCTTTGAGACAGGGTCTCATTCTGTCGCCCAGCCTGGAGTGCAGTGGTGTCATCACAGCTCACAGCAACCTCAGGCTCCTGGGCTCAAGAGATCCTCCTGCCTCACCCTTCAGGAACATGCCACCACACCCAGCTAATTTATTCTATTTTTCGTAGAGATGGAGTCTCACTCTGTTGCCCAGGCTGGTCTGAAACTCCTGACCTCAAGCAATCCTCCTGCCTCAGCTACCCAAAGTACTGGGATTACAGGTATGAGCCGCCATGCTCAGCCTATTACTATTATTATTATTTAATAGCTCTAGTACCAGCTGGAAGTGTCTCTGTTCACACCGGGTAGCTGCTTAGTTTATAAAAGGTTTTTTCTTTTGAGTTAAGAGTGCTATGGTTAAAATGCCAGCCCTTCCCAGGTGAAGGGGATGTGTGGAAGACCCCTCCTCTTCAAGAGAGACTGAGGCATACTGAGATGAAGGAAAGGTGATGGAGGGTGGGAAAGGGCCCGGATGGGGAAGTGAGAAGTCCCCAGCCCAATTCTGTTGTGTCTCATCTCTCCCCAGCAAGCCAACCCCATATCACCCCAACTTGCAGCTACTCTTACAAGCCAACATCCCCATAGCTACTCCCTGCATCTTAAATACCCCTCCTCCAGTTTCTCTGGCCTTTTCCCATTTTCCACCCAAAGTGCCTGATGTATCCAGAAGCCCCCCATTGGCATCTACTGACTCTGTCTTGTCAGCACTGTATTTATTTGCTCAGGTTTACCTGTAGCTTTAAGTCTCTCCTTTGTGCATGTCTGAACTTCTCCAAAGTTGGGTCTCCTTGTAGAAGACCAGGGGGCCTCTATCCCAAGGAGTTCCCAGGCTGCCAGGATGGGTGGAGCGGCCTGGCCCCGCCTCTTACCTGGGTCTCGGAGAGGTCCAGCTGGCGGGCCAGCTCCGTGCGCTCGCGGCCCACCACGTACTGGCAGCGCTGGAACTCCATCTCCAGGCGGTACAGCTGCTCGGCAGTGAACGACGTGCGGGTCCGCTTGGGCCGGTCCAGGTCCAGGCCCTTGGGCAGGACAATTTCCCGAATGGTCCCCTTAGCGTCTGCAGGGGCCATGAAGGGAGCCAGGTTAGTTCGTTGGCTAAGGAGTTAGGGTACCAACTAGCAAATTAGTAAGAGGCAGTGTGTTCTAACAGGAAGCTCCTCTGGCCTGGGCCTGGCTGTGTGACCTCTGATGAGTTGCTTACACTCTCTGGGCCCAGATTTCTCAACCTCATTCAATGCAGGATATTGTATCTAATGGATTGTATCTAATAGATATATATGTATCTAATGGATATAATATGTCAATGGACCTCAGCCATGATTCTATTCCCTCAGCAGAGTAGGGAACAAATGGAAAAAAAATGTGCTGAGGCCTCAAGTACAGAGGGAAAGATGGGCTAGAACTGTGTATAATCAATCAAATAAGGCTCACTGGAAGAGATGACCTGAACCAGGTCCTAAGCCGTGTGTGCGTGTGCATGGACGAGCACTCCGCTGGGGCCATGGGAAGGCTAGCTGGTGTGGGGCAGAGGACAGACTGGGGAGCTCCGTCCCCAGGAAGAGCCCTACTGCCAGCGCATCAGGCTATTGGGGTGCCTTCCGGGGTCGGGGGACTAGGCCACTCCCCATGTACCTATTTTTGAACAACAGGTCCGTCCTGAGCTCTGGACTGACACCATTTATACACAGCGTCTCCAATACTTTGGAGCCCACGTAAGAGAGTTGAAAACCGCGCAGCCCATGTTCACCACACATTCCCACTTAAAGAACTTAGTAACAACACAAAGTGTTCAGCAAAAGTCAAATATTTGGGGCAGTAGTGAATATATATATACACATCAGCTTTAACAATGGGGTAGGGATGATCCATGTTTGAACCACACACACTGCTGGCTTGAAATCTAGTTGTTAGAACATTTTATGTTAAAAATTAAATTCTGGAAATATGCAGCATCATATCCTGTAGGATTTACGAAACCACTCCCAACAAATGAAGTCCATAATAATGAAGCCAAACTAACAGTAATTTACCACCACGTGGGAAGCGCCCTGGCAGTGGGAAGCTTACTGACTCCAGGCAGCCCCAGAAGCAGAAGAGAAAGCACCTTCCACAGTTGCAGGGATTCCAGCCCCCTGCAGGTGGTGCCCACAGTCGGCGTTTGCAATGTGGCCAGAAGCTCACTGGCAGTGGCTGCTCACATTCTCCTCACAGTAACAGTTGACACTTCCACAATACTTGCTCTGTGCCACGCACTGTGGATTTTTTTCTTGTTTTTTTGTTTCATAAAAATTTTTTACAGACAGGGTCTCACTCTGTCATCCAGGCTGGAATGCAGTGGTGTGATCATAGCTCACTGCAGCCTTGAATTCCTGGGCTCAAGTGATCCTCCTGCCTCAGCCTCCTAAGTGGCTAGTTTAGAGATGGGGTCTGACTACGTTGCCCAGGCTGATCTCAAACTCCTGGCCTCAAGTGATTCTCCCTCTTCAGACTCCCTAAGTGCTGGGATTACATGTGTGAGTCACTAGCACCCAGACAGGCACCATTTTAAGCACTTTAACCTTTTCAGTGTCTCCATGAATTTGGAACTATTATTATCCCAATTTTACAGATGAGGAGATGGAGGAACAAATTTTAAGTAATTTATTCAAGGTCATACTGACAGTGTTCAATAAACTCTTGAAACACCCTCATTTTACCTTATGAATACTCTCTGTTGGCAATAATTAACAATTCAATTGATAGATTATAATGCAGAGGACTTTGGTCCTGAGTAAACAAATGGAATCTTCTGGATGGGTTCATCATTCTTCTGGAGAACATAATAAAAGGAGATGCATTGGGATGTGCTGTCTGCCTGGAAGCTCCTGGCGATAGGCAGGGACTGCTGGTCCTCCTTGGAGAATTCCTGAGCTAGACGGTTAACCTGAGCCCCTCCCTCCAAAGCCCCACCCCAGGAGACTGACTCTTCCTGGCCCCTGCCAGTGCCAGTCCACATTCCCCCTCCAGGGAATGCTTTGGCTCCTCTTGGGTTCTTGGCACCGAGTCCTAGCCCAGGTCTCAGAGGTTCCCAAGCACGTTCATGTTCACAGTCAACCTCAGAGAGAAGATGGATCTAAGTGGGAGCTGCAGTCACTGCTCAGAGGTGACCCTCCTTCCCATCCCAGGCCAGGTCCTGCCAAGGCGCTGGGCGGAACACATGGGACAGATAATGGGTCTTGATGTGTCGTAGGAACACAGGCCTCTTGGGACAATTCAAGCTCTCAGCTCCAATTCTTTCCCCATTCCAAAAAGATAGGGTAATATTTGTGACCCCCTCGTGACTGGGTCAGTCCTATTTACTTGGGCTCCACTATTTCCAATTGTGAGATCACAATACCCCAAGTGAATCCATCTCCAAAGGCATTGGTTTTATTAAACATGTCCTGGGGCCTATGGCTAGGAGGAAGGGTGCTATCACATCTGGTGCTGGAAGCTTCATACCCTCCCCCGAGTCAGCCTCCTGGAGCCCACCCTGAGCTCTTTCTGAGCCCCTCACTGTGGGGTCACAGCATATGTGGGCCCACCCTTTCCTCTTCGACTAAGAGCTCAAATGAGCATTGCCACCTTAGGGAGCAGCCAAGGTCAGCTATCTCCCTCAGGGTTAGGGGAGGCAAGAACCATGCGAGAAAGGCAACCTCAGACTTGCCACCCCAATAGCGAAACATTCTATAAAAATCAAGCACCTGAAAAAATGTTCAACATCACTGGCCACTAGGGAAAAGCAAATTTAAGTCGCAATGAGAAACACCTGTTAGAATAACTAAACTAAAAAGTACCGAGAATGCCAAAGTTTGGTGAGGATGCAGAGAAACTGGATCTCTCATACATTGATAGTGGGAATGGAAAATGGTACAGGCACTCTGGGAACCAGCCTGGAGATGTCTTAAACAGTGAGATAGATACTTCCCATACAACTCAGTGACTAAACTCCTGGACACTCATGCTAGAGAAATGAAGTCATATGCTCACACGAAAACCTGTACACAAATGTTCATAGCCACTTTATTTGTAAAAGCCCCCAAATGGAAACAAATCAGATGTCCTTCAATAGGAGAATGGTTAAACAAACTGTGGTACAACCAACCATACCCTGGACTATAACTCAGCACTAAAAAGGAATAACTATTGGTACACACAACAATTTATTCAGGGAAGTATACTGAATGAAAAATGCCAGTCCCCAAAAGTTATGTGTCGTATGATTCCATGTATATGCCATCAAAATGATAAAATTACAGAGGTGGAGAAACAGATCAGTTGTTGTCAGGGTTTGGGGATGGAGGAAGGACCTGACTATAAATGGGTAGCAGGAGGACGTTCCTTTGTGGTGACACAACAGTTCTGTATCTTTTTTTTTTTTTTTTGAGACAAAGTCTCACTCTGTTGCCCAGGCTAAAGCGCCATGATGTCAGCCTAGCTCACAGCTCAAACTCCTGGGCTCAAGCAATCCTTCTTCTGCCTCAGCCTCCCGAGTAGCTGGGACTATAAGCATGCACTATAAGCATGCACCCTGCCTGGCTAATTTTTTTCTTTTTCCACATATTTTATTCTGCTGGATTTAATTTTTTTTCCCGGCTAATGTTTTCTATATCTTTTTAGTTGGCCAATTAATTTCTTTCTATTTATAGTAGAGATGGGGTCTCGCTCTTGCTCAGGCTGGTTTCAAACTCCTGACCTTGTGCCATCCTCCCTCCTTGGCCTCCCAGAGTGCTAGGATTACAGGTGTGAGCCACCGCACCTGGCCAGTTCTGTATCTTGATTATGGTGGTGGTTAAATGGATCTATATATGTGATTAAATGTCATAGTGCTATATACAAAGACCAAAAAATGAGTGCAAGGAAAAATGGGTCAAATCTAAAGAACGTCTGTAGTCAAGTTAATTATATCATGACAATGTCAGTTTCCTAGTTTTGATAATGTCCTGTAGATAGGTAAGATGCCACCACTGGAGAAGCTGGGTGATGAGTACACAGGAACTCTGTACTATTTTTATAACTTCTTGTGAGTCTATAATTGTTTCAAAATAAAAAGTTGACAACAACAAGAAAAACATGTCATAAAGCTGGAGTGATGTGTTGTCACAGAAATTGACAAATTCATCAGTGGGAAAAATACAATAGTGTTTTCCCAAAGTGCTCCTCCATTGCACTTGTGGTTTCTAAGATGACTTAAAATGGTACATAAATACACATTTGTCATTTCAAAAGTTATGTGCTTATTTTAATGTTTACTAGAAAAAATTTTAAGCCCATGATTTTATGTGCTTAGGCTAAAGTGGGTATTTAATTTTAAAATACATCATGCTAAAATATTAAGCAAAATGGAATATAATATAACAGAAATGAAGATATTATGCGAATATTGAGAAACAACGGAACGAAGAGTACACTATTAGACACGTGTATGTATAGTGATAGAAATTTAGGATAAAGGGGCATTCTAGATGGGAAAAGACTGGTATAGGTAAGTAGACTAGTGACCATAAATTATCTGTTTGGAATAAAATTAAGTTAAATTCCTTTCTCACACCATAAATAACAATAAATTTCAAATGGATTAAAGAGTAAATCCTAGATGGCAAAATGATAAAGGCATTACAAGAAAACATAGAAGGATATTTTTAGAGTCCTAGGCTTGGGGGGAACTTTCTAAGCAATATATTAAACTGGAGGCTGTGAAGGAAACACAAAGGATGCATTTGACTATATCAAAGCTAAAAACTTGTATGACAAAAGCACCAAAACCAAGGTAAAGTACAAGAAATATTTGAGGAAAATACTTTTAAAGGAGGCAAAGAAATAATATTCAGAATATATAAAATGCAATTATAAAAAAATAATTTTTAAAAAGGGAAATCACCTAACAAAAAATGGTTAAGTAATTGATCTGGGTCATTCACAGAAAAAGACATCTAAATGGCCAATAAACGTATAAAAAGATGAGCACAGCTTCACAGTAATCAGGATAAGGCAAGTTCAAGCAACAGTAGAAAGCCCATTATCTCCCATAAGATTGGA